AGGGGAATCGTCGTCTTCATTTCGCGATACCATTATTGCACGTGAAGCGAACTGTGCGCGAGAATGATTGATGTGTTAGATTCATCCATGGAACAAATATGTGCAATTTATAAATGTTCGCAAACATCCGCTCGCAGAATCTAAGGTTTTGTTTCTTCTATTACGTGCACATGTTACACCGTTGAACCGTTCGCGAGTTTACAACAGTAATTCTAACTGCATTTGATAGCGTACGGATTATTATTCCTGGAATTCAGCGTATTAATCGAGACTACCATTAAAAGGATTCCATAAAATTCTCGAAGCATCTTAATTGTGTTTATCGGGAGCGCCACGGGCGATTTACGCCTCGTTGCTCCCATATTCGCATAAAGTGAATTATGTTCCCTCCTCTATCATATCATTCGATACATATCGTTATGTTCCGGTACCGTTATACTTACGTTAATAATATTTTTTTGCATTCCCAAAAGTTGCGTTCTTATTGATTTTAATTTAACGTTCGTATGCCCCAGACATGCCCATAAGCCAAATATGTATATGTGACAGCAAATAGGACATGCGCATCGCTTTTAATTATACATTCAGGAGTATCTCTGATATTCGGAGTACCGGTTAGAGAGCTGGTGGGGGAAAAGGAGTTCCTGAAAACGGCCAGACTGGCGTTAGCCGGTGTTTCGAAAAACGTCCGACGGCAATTTAATTGCCGCGCACATCGGCGTGTCGTTCGAGGCGATCGCGCCTCGACTTTACGATGCGTGTAACGTGTGTAACGCGTACAGCAATCTCCGCGATGGGCGCGGGCGCCAAACCGCACCGCCCACACGTCACGTCGCGTCGCGTCGAGCCGCGTCGAGTCGCGTCGAGGGTATAGTCCCTCCGCATCCGCGGTTCCCGCTCCACGGCGTCACGTGATTAACGGCCATCATCATCATCATCATCATCGATGTAGCGATCCGCGCTGGTCGACTTCATCCCACGCCCAACACCTTCCGTTCCATTTACCGACGCTGCGGCGAGCGAGCCGAACGAATAATAATTACGTTATGCGTTCGTGAATGCCTCCCGCGGGACATCGGCGAAATTATCGATCGCCTCGATTAATGCGGTCTCGGTGGCGCATAATCAATACCGTACGATCGCGTCCGACGCGAACACGGACACGGGGACGAGATCGAGACGAATGAGAGGATGCGATTCTTTCTCGATCTTTCGAATGAACAGGTGGGCGACGTGAGACTGCGGTATAATGCCGCGCGAACGATGTACGCAACGACGAGCGATAGGATTATTAATTGTTTCTGTAATGCGATGCGCAAACATCGTCAATGAGAGACCGCTGGTGTCGACTGACTTGAAATGATGCCGGTGCGGGAGAACGAATCGCTTTAGTAGCCTTTTATACCGTAGAACTCGTTAGGGTTGTTAGATGACTTGCCTCGATAAATAAAAAACACATTAATCGGAATATTAACTTTTGCCATACTGTTAGCTCTCAAGTACGCGACGAGCGTTTTGTGCGCACGCGAGAAGTAAGTCACTCGCTGATCTAATTCTGTCGGCTTAATGGCGCGAATTCATCATTGCGCGCGTTGCACAGATGAGGTCTTCTCATCTTCAATATCCCATTTAGGCCTTTGCGCTCGAGAGACGAGTTCACGTCACACGGATAATTCATTCGAGTGCTTTTGCACGAACATCGGAACATTTAAGCAGCTGCTTAGACGTCGCATAGAGCAATAAGTCTCGTAAATCAAATGAGATGACAGTCCTTTAAACGGCAACACTCAGCGAGATATATAGGCAACCGGAATCGGATAATTTCCCCGGATTGTGAAAGACGCCGTGTCGGCGATGTCGGGGAACGAAAAAGCGACAAGTCGGGCGCGAGTACCGCGATTGGAATCGTCGCCTAACGATAATCGACTCCCTCTTAAGCGGCGACGATAAATTAATTATTGTAATTATATATGCCATTATCCCATTATCCTCGTTGACAGCCGATATAATCGCGATGGCTCGAATTCCGTTGCGCGGGATAAGATGAATTTCCCCTTTAATATCTCCGCAAGATATTTATAATCATCTTACGTGCGCAACATTCTCCCTGGGACTGCTATCAACGCATCATCCTTGTCATCGTCTAACATATTGCAGAAGAAGACGAATCGGCGACGCAAACCGTTATGCCGTGATAATTATCGTTTAATCGCTCCAATGATGCAAACGTGTGCATTTCCATTTCTTCTTAATTCGCTCTTTTGCCTTAATGCGAAAATAATGGGTTTACATTACGATCGACGTTAAATAAGTCTCGTGGATACACCGTACTGATTGCATACGTAACGTTTTGTAACAAAACTGAATTTCAAATTAAATATTGCAATATTATATACTTATTTCTTCGGGATGATAAATTTGAGCTTATTGAATACGTTCAAATTATTAATAACTTAATAGTAAGACAACACTTGATAATGACTTCGAAGAAATATACGGTATTCATGGAATAATTTTATTATTTTCGTTCCGTTATTTCGATTTTCCAGAAAATTCAAGTTTCGCCAAAATATCGCGACACGTATTATTTAAGCTCCTGTAAGCGCGATGCGTCCCGCTCTGATGCGAGCAATTTCTTCAGTGCCTTCAGTACCTAGCATGCTGGAAGCATTCCACTTTTTTTTAAACGACTGCTTAACCGTCGAGATGAAACGACAACTGTCCGCCTCGTAACCTGAGTAATACGCGCTTAAAATTTTCAACGATAACGTCTCTCGGAAAACCACGGTCAGCCGATTCCCGCGACCCTGGGAAAATCGCAAAAGAGGAGAACGAGCGTGCTGTACTGATAACGACTATTCAACCGACAGTGATTATTATTAACATGATGAAAGTACAGATAATTTCTTCTGCCTTGAAAATATAGTATAGCGATATATAGTCGACATAGAAAGGTCTAAGTACAAAAGACCCGGCGACATGACATGTACCACTAGCAAACTCTCGTTGCTCAGTATGCACCGAGCGTTCCGCTTAACTCTTAACTCCTTAATCTTCTAGATGGGAACATCTCAAAATGAAAGCACGATCAGATAAGCAGGCGCGGTCAAATCATGAAAAAGATCAGATTATGTTAGATTATGTTAGATTAGTTCCATGTTTCAGATCTCACGTAGCTTCGCCAAAAATAGTCGTAGAGTATACAGAATGTAAAAAGCAGAATGAGAGAAAAGTTATTAGCTTATCAAGTATGAGAGATTAATCTATAACTGTTATTTAATAAAATAGAAAAATTTATATTTTACATATTTTATATGTATTACATTTTTTATTATTCTGCGAAAATAAAATGTAAAACTGTACTTTTTTGTAAAAAACTAAAATATAATTCAAATAAATCAGATAAAGAGAGAAAAACAAGGAAAAATAGAAAATTATACAAATTATCGTGAATTCAAATAATTAGCCGGTCCAGAAAAAGAGATGATAAAGATTGATACGGATGGTTGGCTCTGGCACCCGGGGTCGCCGAGCGCGTGCGAATAGTACGAAGTTCTCGACGATTATACCGAAAAGGTCTGTAAACCGGCAAGTAAGTGCAGAGGCAAGAAACTCATTTGAGGTTCACCTGGAAATGGCAAGGGCGCATTATAGAAGCAACAGCAGCAACGAGGAAAGATGAGTCATATCCTAGATTGTGGCACAAACCGCGAAGAAAGACGAGAACGTGGAAACGAGAAGATCGCGGCGTTGCTCATCATTTTCGCTCTTATTTTACCAATTACGTGTAATACGTCGCAATTCATGTTATTTCGGCTCACATGTATATAACTACATTCATATATATATATATATATAAATCTAATTGTGAGATTTGTTCTTTTCTTTTCCTTTTCCATCGCGATATCTTTTCGGCCATCTTGTCGCTTGACGCTTCGCGGGAACTTCCGTTATTATTATAACAAAGTGCTTTTCTCCGTGTAACGGCCTCCATAATCGTCCTTGGTCGTCTCGCTGGAGTATATATAAAAACTATAACTCAAAAGAACTATAAACTCTCAAGTCATATTTCAGGAGCAATTCTGTTCTAATACGATACACTCTAAATTTAAAATGAGATCAGATTTACGTATCTACATATTTCGAGAGGTCTTGCAACGCGACCTTTACGCAACGCGTTATGTAATTCTCGAGTCAACGGTTATCATTTTATCATAAATTATATATTGTTACAGATACATGTCCGTCTGGATGCTGACGGCGATCACTCTGAGGTGTCAGGTAAATATATCTTGTTTGCGTTAATAACGTGTAATAACATGGTAAAGGATACGAGATCTCATTAGACATAATTTTATTTTCACAGGCGACCAATCACGAAAGCGCGGAGGTGGAGGGGAATTCCGAAGATTCTGTTATAGACGATACGACCGAGGATTATTGGGCGGGCAGCGGATCAGGACCCGATGAGGATGAGTCCTCTTCTCACAACGAAACCAGAGAAGCGTTAACTCACGAGGCCAGCGACCACGATGCTGTAAGTCACGCATCGCCAATTTGTTTCGCGTTGCGCACTTAGTTATTGAAATTCATGATAGACATTGCACAAGAAGTTTCTCCCCGATCTATTATTTCTTTGTTCCGTTATCTTTACGAAAATATTTATTTATTTTTCCCGTATTGCTTAGCAAAACTAGAATACAAAGTAAATTGATAATTATCAATTACGTTAGTTACGAATATTAGTTACATTTTACGACGTTAAGACGTGTACGATTTTATTACACAATTTTAAGATGACATTAATATTACTTGTCGATTGGGATGAAAAATGCACATCAGAGTCATATTTTTTACACTTTTTTTTGTACGATTAAATTATCAAAAACGAAAGCTGGAAAGCTCAGTAAGCAATAAAAATCTCTCCTCGTTCTATAGATTTTTGATAATACATATCGTGATGACATGACAACAGAGAGGAAAGTGAGAGAAATAAAAAGGAGAAAGATAAGCGCATGTCTGTTGTACGGTCGTATTCGTCCAGTTAATTGACAAACGGTTTCCTCGAAAATGAATTAAAAAAAAAGAAAGTTAACGAGAGAGGAATGGGAAAAAGGAAATGAAAAAATGGCACTTGCCCACCTGTTCAGTTTTGCGTGATTTCTCGTTAACGAATGCTCGCGCGCAAGGCCGTATGACATAGAATCTAGATGCAGGTGTTCTGCATCCGCTATGATATTCAAGAGAGCAAAAAGAGAAAATAGCGACAGTTAACCGCAAGCAAAGACGACGCCTCGATCGCCGGCGTGTCCTCGATATCGAGGCGAAGCAGAAAAATTTTATCACTCCATAGATGCGCGCGGTCGACCGTTTTGCTTTCTTCGTGTGACTCTCGTCTTCGCTGCGATCGATATCAGTAAAATCGCGAGAGATCGGTTTGCAACAAAAATCAATTATTGCTCAGGCCCCGTTTACCTTATCCCCGTAATCTTCTCCCTTTCCCGTGGCACGTTGAAGATATACCGCCTCCGGCCCTTTGTAAACGAAGGGCAGAAGGTTGCCGTTGGTGCATCAGTACGGAAAGCATCGGGGGAGAAGCGGAATAAAAGCCATTCCTTTGATTAATCGCTCTTTATCGATGATCTTCGGATTGCCTTTAAACTAGTTTTCGAGCGCGAATCGATTTCGATCGCAAAAAAATGTGAACCAGTTTCCAGTAGAATAGAGAGAAAGGGTATCGCGACCACGTCCGTGCGCGACCTTCGTTATATCGCAAATTGCAAGCGGATAGATCGCTTCTTGCGCCGCGTGATTCTCCGCGGGGAAAGGCCTCATTACTCGAGAGCACTAGAAGCGGTTTATTTAGCCTAGCGAGCATTCCGTTGCGAAACGGGAGACAAGATCAATTTCATTTATGCTGCATGCTGCCGTGCATTTCCATCCGTTCCAATTGGAGAAGCGAAGACTAATCGCGAGGAAATGCACTTTATGGTTTAAGGCCGTCTCAACGACTTTAAATCGTCCCGAGAGAATAATAAGACACAGACTATCTATGAAAATCATTAATCAATGATCGTATGAATTGACAATGATTGATTTGATATGAAATGTGATAAAGCTTTTATTTAAATTTTCCGTTTTATTTTATTTTTTAACACAAGTGAAAAAAGATTAAAAATAATATTCGACGACACTACAATGTAAAATTAATATTAATAAAGAACTATTAATTTTTGTTTAATACATTTTACTGATGAAATTTTTGCTGTAATTTTACGCTTTAAAAAATTGTCGACCTAAGTAACGCTTTAATTAAATTTTAAGAGAAGATTCTAAAGAGGATAAATGTATTTATTTAAATCATTCGAAATGATTTTATTTCGACTAATGACTTTCGACATTCTAACCGCATGACCGTTAATCACTGCATGAATGTGCATATCTCGATGCGACTTGATCAAATAAAGTTCTCGAAAGAAATTAACATTCACTCGAGAAAAAAATCTGAAGAAATCTCCCGTCTGGTCGCGTCATCTCCCAGTGTAGAAAAAAAGCGAGCAAATCTAAACAGTTACTTGATAGTTCTTCTGCGAAAAAAGAGTGAGTTTATATCACGGATGTCGACGCCATTAAAGAAAATGTTCTTATTATGCGCAAGCTACAGGATTCAATGTCAAATTATGTTCATCGCCGGATGTTAATGCGTACAAATATTATCTCGAATTGCTTCCAGCGAATGCTAATTTTACGAAACAGTTATCGGAAATAGATTTGTGTTAAATTGAAAGTAATAAGTTCCTGGAAGAGGAGCCCACAAAACGGAAGACGTTCTCGTGCGAAGAGCTCCGACGGAATCGAATCGGCGGCGCATTCGACATTTCGTGCTATTGCATTTCCTACCTACCCCAGCCCAGTACAGTTAATACCGAGGCAACCGTAGTTAAGCATGGCAGGAGTCGAAGGTAATCGGCACTTATCGTCCGTAATGCATTCCGATGAGATACCGCGGGAGATTCAAAGACCGCCGGTCATTTTCCGCGGAACGTAGATCAGAACGCCAGAGCTCGGAACGTCGGGGCTTCTCTCGCCAGAGGAAACGATCTTCTAACTACTCTACTGGCCCATAAACGCTGTACGCCACTTGGCTCGGTCGGGGTCCGCTCCGTTTCCCGGCGGCATCGTACTCGAGTTCCTGAAATTCCTCGAAGGTGGAATCCGTGAAGAGAGGCAATTTCCCTGCTGATCCGCTGCGCGCGTGTGGTTTGCGGGGTGGCAACCTGTCGCATCGAACCGCTGTGATCACGAGCGGAACGTCATCAGTGAGCAGTGCGAACGACGAAAGAAAAAACAAGGGTGAAAGGGGGAGGAGCGGTGAAGAGTTGAAGAATCGGAAGGAACGCGAGGAGGCGGCGGCCGGAACGGAATTCCGGCGGTTTCTTCGTCACGGCATATGAAGGCTGTTCGCGAATTTTTTCCCTTCGTCGCTTCGCGTTCGCCACTAACCACGTGCCCGTCCTCCTCTTTTGTCCTCCTCTCTCTCTCTCTCAGCGATCGATTTACTCGAGTAGGTGCCTACCTGCGCTCGCTGACAAGCGGCTCGAAGTACAATATCTTCCCTTTGACCACTCCGCCCCCGTCATCTTGTTCGCTCTTCTTGCGCCTCTTCTTGCGCGCGGCACCCGTACGCGGATAGAAAAGGCCTCGGATACCCACGCTACGACGGGGGAATGAGCTCGTAAAGCGTTAGTCACGCGCTACTCGTGTACTGTTCGTTTTTCAGACTTCCTCGTCGGGTTCTCTTCACCGGTCTCTTTTCGTCTCTCTCTGGACTCGCCGTCGACGCCACGCCGACGCCGCCGTGCCTCCCTCTTCCGCGTATTTCTCTTCACCGCCGATCTGGTCTCGACCCCCGGCGCTTTTTCTCGCCCTTTCTCACCGCTCAAGCGGTAGCGATCCGTGCAGGCTGGGGGTTAAACCGGATCGTTAACGTAGGAGAGGTCAGGGCTCCCGCTCAACGGGATGGTTTTGCATAGCCGGATCGCGCGAGGCTATGTACGCGAGGATATTTCGACGGAATCCCGCTTCCAACCGCAATGCGCGGGCTAACGGCTTTGAACCTGCAAATCACTACTTGCGACTCGTTAGCGGATTCCTCGTGTTCATTTTCCGAGCTCCCATATGAATATTATCAGTAACATCGGAAATTTGGCGCAAGTGGTTGGCTATTAGCGTGAGTGATCATATCTGAATGTGCCTGCGTGAATGATCAAATCTGAATATGTCTGAACCGTTTTTCTGATAATATAACCGAAGCGAAAAATATGCTCATGCGTGAGATCTAATGTATACTATCAATTATCAATATTTTTATAAAAATCTTGTATAAGATAATTTTATCAAATATTTTCTTGAATTAACAAATTACATATTTAATGTAGGATTTATTAACATTACTCATTGCCCGTGATTAATTATTAATTTTTGATAACTAAAGATTTATTTAATTATAAAAAAGTATTAGATCTATGTATTAAATCATCACGATATAAAAGATCGTGTGAATTATCTATATTGTATTAATAAAAGATGCTTTTTCAAAAGGTCGTGTACGTCGGTGACGGTGCTGCTTACGTACCGGTTCCTTCGTTGAAGAACCGACCGTTAAACCCAAACCTCCAAGCTCTTCAAACTCTTCAAGGCTTGCAGAGCCTCGCTGGAGGTACAGGTGTAATCGGCGACGAAGATTGGAGAAGACATCCGGAAACCTGGGACCGCGAACACCGAAGATACAGACCGAACACAACGAGAGTGCAACGTGAGTACGCGAAAGTAACTCTCTTTATCACCTTTTTGCCGCATTTTCGCGGATTTATTATATAGACAGACTTGATAATAATATTAAAATAAACGGTCTCTCTCGTAAATGCCCGTAATTAACAGTCTTAGCGGTCTATTTGCACATTTTCAATAAGGCAAATTAAATATAAATGAGTACACTACATATAAGGCAATTACTCTTCAGCTCGTACAATCTTCCGAGCTAATAGAAATTTCCTGCTTTGTAAGTAGCTGTAATGCCGGCTCGCATCAAGACGTTATTTCAACGGAAATACGCTACGAAAGGGTATTGATTATGTCGATCTAGAACCAACAGAGAATCTCTATTTGGCCGATAATGGATCATCGACTCGATTTACCTTGGAGAGTGCTACATTATTCGCGTTCGTGCGATAAAGTGTATAAAGTAGGGCATACTTCATGGAGAAACGTATTTGGAGCAAGAGGACGTTCAAATGATAGAACTAGCGCTACATCGGACGTAAATCCGCTATTTCCCGTCCGAATAAAAGCGCCGACAAAAAGCGTCTACGGTATCGGTCTGGTGGGTCAGTGTGCTTGGAGGAAAGACCTTTACTGTCGCTTTACCATGTCGAGCCGTTATTTTTCTATCCATTGTTCGTCCATAGAGAGAGAGAGAGAGAGAGAGAGAGAGAGAGAGAGAGAGAGAGAGAGAGAGAGAGAGAGAGAGAGAGAGAGAGAGAGAGAGAGAGAGAGAGAGAGAGAGAGAGTAGTACGTACG